TCCGGTACAAGCAAGATGAAAATGCTATGTACACTGCATGATTTGATGTTGCTTTGCTGGAAGAACTCTCCATAAGAGGAATGCATTTGAGAGAACCTGATACAAGTCTCAAGGTGGGAGATAAAAAATTTCGAGAGATCCTCCTTTGCTGTGCCCCTTTCCAATTATGGGTCCTGTTCCTCCGCCTTTCATCGAACTAGTTCCTTGTCCGTTGTTCATGGGACCGGTTCCTCCTATTCATCGTCGGCCGTTCATGGGACTGATTCCTCTGCCGATCATGGAACCGGTTCCTCTGCCTTTCATGGGACCGGTAGGTTCGGTTCCTCGGCTACTTATGGGATCAGTTCGTCCGCCGTTCATAGGACCGCTTCCTCCTCGGCCGCTCATGGGGCCGCAGGATATTCCATTAATCAGGGGTGTTTGTCCTCATCATCATACTCGCTGGGCTATTAGAGGCGACCACTGCCTCGTTCGTAAAAATAATCATGGTCCCTGTTGTGATGTTAACAACATTGGCAAGGCTGCCGGAAAGTGGCCGTAGTAATCATGATAATGGTCCCGGTTCTGGTGCTAACAACACTGGCAAGGCTGCCGGAGGTATCTATTCCATTTACCTTGCGGGAGAGATAAACGTTAAAGCACAAGAGCTTTAGGAAAAGCGCGGGCTGCAATCCCAAAGGACTACTGAAGAATCCATCCCACTGGTTTTAGCCGTACGGTTGTTCATCATGCTATAGCGTATCACCCATTTGGAAAAGAGCTTTCATGGGCTTTTCACAATTTCATCTTCCTAGAAGAAAAATGATCCTCACACCAAGTGTATGGTCTACATATAAATAAATCTTTTGCAGGCTATGTATGAGTGTTATTTATTTAACTTACACAATAAAGAATAATCATTTTACCTCTCCTAATCTATACTTTATTCATATAGCTATGTAATATGGATAGTCCTTGTGCTCAGTTTTAGCCATATTCTTTCTGGTAATTTAGAACGTGCTTTTTATCTTTGCTTTGATGGGTTTTGTACGGTATTTTAGTGTTGGAAATTTGAGTGGAGCGGATATGCCAACACAAAATCAACTGCCATAAAAATAGCCCAGAACCCAATGGAACAATCTTAATATAATTGGCAATATCTTGAAGCATATACCATTAGCTTCTAGATAACCAAATTGTCCAGACTACCGGCCGCAACTAAATTAAATCCCAAGCTACCACAAAATCCAAGAGATAACAGAGCAATTATTAGACATAACAAATTTATATATAGTTCAAACTCTTAGAAAATAATTCAATAGTTAAGAGTTTGAAATTTTAAGTCGAAAATTTAAATTCAAACTTTAAGTTAAATAAAGAAAGATTTGAAAATAAAAAAAGATTATCCCTTCTTATATAATTCATAATCAAATGTACCCAAAAAAAAAAATTCATATATATTTCGACCATTGGAAGCTCTTAGTCCATAAATTATAAGTAAGCAACCTTGTAACTTTACAGCGAACCAGCAAGTGATCCACATAAACTATAACAACCATACTTATGGACCGTATGACAATTAATTTTGAATGTCCCTAATTAAAAGGCAGGGCAACTAAAATTTGAACGGAGGGAATACCTTTATATGAATTATTATACAACATAAATATAATTTCATTTGTAACAGCATCCCCCAGTGCCACTACCTGGGGGTTTAGCGATGCCTCTGCACTAGCAAATTGCTGGTAATGTGTTGAATGGAACTACACACAAATAATCTGCATTTGCAGGGATCACTTCTGCTTAACATTGGCAAAACACTCATTCAAAAATTTATGAAGCTCTGATGAATAAATATCTGGAAAAGTCCGATAATGATCCACATGAAGAGATGAGCCAAAGTTAATGATAATACCTTTATCCCCTTCCTTCTCAGCTTCTCCATACACAACTCAATAGTCTCAAATGGAATGACCCTATCAACTGTGCTACAAAGGTAAAGCTAAAGACAAAGAGGTGGGTGCTCTGAGAAAGGATCATTCTTCTTAACCTCCTACAGTGAAAGCAATTAAATTACAGCTAGAATCAAGTTTCTTTTGACTACTAATGTGTATTATTTTAATCATATTCTAAAACTGTGGAGTGTGGATTATGCCGTATCATAATCTAAGGAACAATTTTTTTCTTTTAAAATAAGTTGGAACAAGAGACAGACAGAAAAGTTTACCTGTCAATGTCAGGCAAGTTTAAGAGGAATGTCATGAGCTTCTCCAATGCAGCAAGCAGCATGGCTTCAATCTTTGGAGGTTCCTTTTCTTGCAATTTTAATGCACTAGCTTCACTTTTGAATCCATTTATCAAAGGTTGGTGTTTTTTTAACACAGCAGCAGCAATTCCAGCTGCTCAAACCTGCAAGAATAAAGAGAATTTGTCCACAAAATTTAGCACTACTTTCTCATTCAGTCCAAATGATAGAAACCATAAGAAAGACTTACAATGAAAGCATAGAGAAAATCTATTAAACAAGATTACAATGTCCAAAAACCAGGGCAAATAAACCCAGGCTATTTTACACTACAGTACCCATACTTTTTGTGTAAAAGTACTAAAGTTCCCAGGTCATGTTCCAGTAATGTTCTGCGCTACAGTTAATGCATGAATGATATATTATTTGGCACATCAAAATATAGAGGTTTCACAATGAACTTAACAAAATGTAAATTACATAACACATTAAAAAAAATTCCATAAAACCACAGAATAGGACTGCCAAGTAATAGAAACATCCAACTCTCTCAGGTAGAAGTGTAGAACCTGTACTCATCCCCTTTAACTGGGATTAGGCAAGTTTGTTATGATCCTATTTTACTGAAACAGAGAGTTAAATTAAATAGTCGAATCAGCAGCCAAACAGTTTATGACTTCTCAAAACAACAACAGCTCTACATTAGAAAACTTCTCTTAAAAGGTGATACAGAGGGTTGTATTATCTGGTACAAGTTTCTTTCTCCTCTTAAAAGGTTTCTACATATTCGGCAGCGCATAACAATCCGTAATATGCTTCTGATGAAATTCCGAGAAAGCCTTAATTGCAAAGGAGCTAGACTAAGAAATCAGCCTCCTAATTTGGAACAAGAAATGAATTCAAAGTCCAGTTACTAATCTTCATGGATCATCCATACAGAGCAAATTATAAACATAAACCATCAAAATAAAGTACGATGGCAACTCGGTGAAATAGAAAGCTACCAAATAAGTATAACTTCATAAAAACAATAAAAAGAATACCTTGGGGTCCAACAAGCCCCCTCATCCCGAATCAATAATAATCTCTCTTATCTTCTTCTTCATGTCATCTCTTCCCTGAAAACTGTCAAGAATTACACCACACCTGCAAACGAGAATAACCCGACTTTGCTAAAGCCAAACAACACAGAAGATTTACTTTTTCTGCAAGCCGAGCAAATGAGGAAAGCAACATTTATCACACTAGAACCAGCTCATACGTAAACAAACCAGTGTTACTAAAGGTGTGGAAGATCAAACACCGTTCTCTACCATCGTCCTCCTTCCCTGATACCCACGAGCTCAGCTGGGATCCAAATGCAGACATCCGCTGCTCGAGCCTGGTTCCCAAATCGACCAACAGCACATCCGTGACTTGGACGATTAAAGTGACGGCGTGGATGCCTTGGGAATTAAACCACTGCACGAACCTCTTAAGGTGCTTCGTTTTGGCCCCAAGCCATCCCAATAGAACTACTGTAACCACACGCTCTTTCTTGCCGAAAACCTCCACGCCACCCCCCCCCCCATTGACGACGTTTCCGGCGCTCGGTTCCAGGTAAAAACGGTGTCTTTGGTTTTGGATCGAAGGAACGAATTCAAATAAACTTGAGAGTCAAAGGATAGAGAAGAGGACATTGAGAGAGAGCAAAAAGGCTTGGAATTGGGAGAAATAGGCGACGAAGAAGCGCGGAGGCGGAGGGAGGAAGTTACAAAAGCTTCTTGTGGATTTTGTTCACCCCAAACTCATTCTCCAAGTCATATTAATTGTGTACCTACCGCCTCGGCTACAAAATTTTTGTTCAGTTACTTGAAAAGTCGAGATCTTATATTCTGATGTAGTTGCTTTTCCAACATGCAGAAGTTAGTGGAACAGTTTCTGGAGGGGGTGGAAGCAGGATTAAAAAGGG